CGAGAACAGACCGGATGTAAACCGATAGACCCTGAGATCATCTTATGGATAAAGGTAATATTGTCGCGGTATGAAATACAGAAAGAGCAAGAGATAAAATACGCACTAAGAGCCTTACACCGATTGGCGATATGGCGAACTAATAGGTAAATGTCGATGAAAAGAATGATACAATATGCTGGTGTGAAAGACCCCAAGCTCAATGTGGTAAAGCTAACAATTATGGAACATCCCAATTTCCGGGGACTAATTTTTCTTAATCAAGCTGATGTTAGAAGTTTAAGGTGAAGCAGTGTGGAAAAAGGTGATTAATGCCCGTTGACACATGCAAGATGACGTTAGGACTGTCGTTGTATATTTTTAGCACTTTTAATATATATGTACGAACAATATATGAGTTCCAATACATTATGATTTTGTGGAACTACAATAGAAAATTTAGTGTATATATTTTTAGCAAAACAAAAAAAGTTCGAGCTTTAACTGTCTGAAAATGGACGAGAAAAATTGGAAAAAAATGGTAAATCACGTCACGGCATGTCATGGGTATGCCGATATGTCATCGTATTTATATTATTTTCTTTTTATGTATGTGTACTTATATACATATTCATAAATCATTTCATACGAATATTAAAAACTTTTCCATTTACTGTCGTCATATTGTCATTTTCCAGCAGTTAATGGCGGTTCTCAATACGAATATAAATAAGCGTCAACCATACACCCACCTACCGTTCTCTTATTCATGGAGAGTGGAAAACTTTTAAGCTGCTGTACTCAACAACTTCCTATCAAGCTTTCATATTGTTATTGTAGCTCTTGTAATTGCTATATTACTTTTGCAAAGTTCTTTATTGCTTATGTATTGGATTTGGCAGTATTGTGTGGGTGGGAGGAAGGGTGAAGGAAAAATGCAACTTAGTAGATTGCTTGAAGAGCACTAGCTGTTTTTCATATCTTCAAAAACCAAGAAAGACAAATTTATATAATAATAAAAAAATAAAATAATAATTAAAAAGTTACAGAAATAAAATTTTTTTTTTTAAATATTTAGGATTCTGAGCTCAAATCAGGTCACCTTTCTTTAGAGTGATAACAAAAATTTAAAATTTTTAAATATTGAAAAAAAAAAAAGATTAAATTCATTAAATTAGAAGTATACGCAAGAAATTGCATTTTTTTTTATAAAAATTTAATTTAAAAAATTAAAAACTTTGAAAGTGCAGCAAATTTTTTTATTAGTCCATTTTTGAATCTTATTTCTCAAATATCAGGAAATCCGAAAAATTCGAGTTCTTGGAAAAAGTTTTTATTTCAAAATTTTTGAATTTGATAATTTAAAATAAGTGTACAATTTTTGAAACTTTTTTCACAAAACCATTTTGAATTTTTATTAATTATTTTCTCTATTTTAGAGATAGTGAAGTTTCTACAGTTTTTTTAACCAAAATTGTTTTTGTCTTGACTTTCAAATTACCATTGTGGATGTCGGCAAAGAAAGTTTGCCACTACCACAACCACACAAGCAATGCAATTGTAATCGAAGTACGCGTATAACTGTAAAATAAAATAATAATAAAAGAAATAAACAAAATATTGAACGTGTCCAATATAACTTTTGAAATGATAATAATGTGTTTTTAAACTTTTTTATTGTTAGCATAAAATTCTACTGACGCACATACCTATACATACAAGTACTGTTACACCAATAGAACTGGCGCAACACCATCATACAGTTATATCCGTGTGCAGATCGAAAAAGACAAACGATTTGGCGCATTTTGCTATGCAATTTCGTAAATCCCAAACTATAGATATACAAGTTTGCGTATACATAAATGTATATATGTATGTATGTATGAGGATTTGCATGTTTATATGTATGAAAATTTTATGAAGCAACAAAATTTTATATTTTTTGTGAATTCTTTTTATTGAATATGCAAATGGCGAAGATGAAAATTTTCCACACTCACAGGTGGATATGTACATGTACGGGGGGATTAACAAAAGTTCGCTGTTGAACAGAAAAAAAAATTAAAAATTTTTTTTTTATATTTATTCGTAATCTTTGTCCTTTCTTATCTTCTCCATATAATCTCCATTGAATTTCTTAACAAGCCCTTTCTTTTCAATTTTTGAAAATAACCAGAAATCCATCCCTGAGGTCGTAATAAAATTGCTCGTTATTTTAACAGTGTGGGATGGCGCGCTGCTCTCTTACTCCCTGTTTTAAAACCAATTTTTTGAAAACTTTTGGTAAGCACGTCATTGGTGGAAGATTTTGGTCGACCTTCTTGGGGCTCGCCCTCTGTGGAAAAATTTTCGGCCTGGAATCTTCGGAACTAATTAAAAATAGTCTCTAAAGACGGTCCAATCGTTCCATATGCAATTTGTCATTCACTAATTATTTGCTTTGGCTGTAATTGACGCCGAAACCCGATGAAAATCACATGGTGAATTTCTGTTTGTGTTGGTGATGGAATTTCGTCTGACCTACCCTCACCTAGCTTGCGTTTTCTCGTCTCCATTTCAGCTGATCGGTTTAAAATTTGAAATCTTAATTTTGAAGACTAATAAAGCAATTGCAACGGATTTGGTACTTTAAGATTTAACAGAAACAAATTGAAAGTCACCAACTGACCGAACTTTTGTTGATCTCCTCTTATATGTAAGTGTCGATAAAAGTTGGTGTTTCGTTGGTTTGCAACAAAAGGTAAAAAAATGTATGATAATAAAATACTTTTTCCCCGTATACTCGTATGTGTGTATGTGTGCATGCAGATTTTCTTGGATTTCCAGGTCAATTGAAATTGGCTGAGTATTGACTAAATTTGCGCGCTGCATTTTCGAACATTTTCCAACATATTGTGATTTTTCTAAGTACACTCTCTGTAAAGTAGATATGTAAGTGTATGCAGTCTTGACAAGTGTACATATAACGGGTTCACAAAAATTTTTAAAAAGTTGCTTTAAGAGAAAAAATAATAAAAAAATAGTACATTATTATTTATTTGAGCCAAATTTTTGTTTTTGCGATATGTAAGTATTTTAATAACTGTAAGTAAGTATGTGTATATGTATCTACTGATATGTGTCATACTGCTACGGCAGGAGTTATTAGGAAGTACGGAAAGTTAATATAAATTTTGTGAAGTTTAATTAACTAAATGGAAGTATATATATGTATACATATAAGTGTATTAGTTTCACAGAGCTTTGATAAAATTAAAATTAAAGTATGTATTAATATTTACTTCATTGTTATACACTGTGTGTTAAACTAATTTCCCTATTAAATATTTTTAATAATTTATTTATTTACATTTATTTATTTATAACATGAAATTAAAATGAATCATGTATTAGTTTTTGCAAATATTATCAATTATTTCAAAGCATTTACTCTCAAAATCTTCTCATCTTTTCAAGCTAATTTACTGTTTACTAATATACCATTAATATTTAATTATTCCATTTTACAATAAGTACACATATACATATATATTATCAATTTCGGCTATCCATTAACTCATCTGTATCTTTTCAAAATTTACTTGCTAATTTATTGCAACTAAGTGATTTAATTAAATACGATTACAATTTTCTAAATCTGAATTTGATTCTTCACTTTTATTGCATGTTTTGCGTCTTTCTAATACCACACAATATCTTTCTTCTTATTAATGTAGGAGTCTGAGCGGTTGATTTTGCATATTATATAATATATTCCTTTTTTAACTTTGTACTAATCGTACTTTTTGAATATTTTACGAACCAATTTCAATTCGATTATACCGAGGAAAAAATCAAAGCTAATAAATAAATTTATTTTATTTATTTATTTGAATTATTTTAATTATTTAATTTTATTTGAGCTAATTATTTTACTTTTATTTGTTTTATCATATTTTATTTTATTTTATTTTATTTTATTTTATTTTATTTTATTATTTCAATTTATTTTATTTTATTTTATTTTTTTTATTTTATTTTATTTTATTTTATTTTATTTTATTTTATTTTATTTTAATTTATTTTATTTTATTTTATTTTATTTTATTTTATTTTATATTGTTTTATCTTATATTATTTTTATTTAATATAATTTAATTTAATTTTTTTTTATTTAATGCCATTTCATTACATTTGACTTTTTTCTTTTATTTTTACTATTTAACTTTACTTTGTTGTTTTTTTATTTAATGAAATAGTATTCAATGCATTTTGTTTTTATTTTATTTAATATTTTTTTTTTTAGTATTTATTTTTGTTTAATATAATTTAATTTTTTATTGTGTAATACTTCATTTCTCACTTTATTTTATTTTTTATTTTATATTATTCTTAAATTATTCTTAATTTATTTAATTTTAATTTGTTTGTTTTATTTTATTTTAAATTATTTAATTTTATGTTATTTTGTTTCATTTCATTTAATTTTTTTCCTTTATGTTTATTATTTAACTTAATTTTGTTGTTTTTTTATTTAATTGAATTAATTTTATTTAACTTATTTTATACTACATCATTTCGTTTCATTTTATTTTTTATTTTTTTATTTATTAATGTTATTTTATCCTATTTTATTTCATTTTATTCTATTTTTTCCTTTATTTTTACTGTTTTATTTTATTTTGTTTTTTTTTTATTTAAATTTATTTTTATTTTATTTTACCTTATTTAACATAATTTCATTTATTATAGTGTACTATTTCGTTTTTCACTTTATTTAATTTATTTTATTTTTTGCTTCATTTTATTTTGTTTTATATTTTTTTTATTTTATTCTATTTTATTTTATTTTGTCTGGCTTTATTTTATTTAATTTTTTTTTATTTAAATTTTAAAATTTTATTTCATCAAATTTAGCTCCTTGCTGGCTTTACTTTATTTGATTTTATTTTGATTTTTTCTACATAATTTAAATTTATTATATTTAAAATTTTTGTTATTTTACTTTATTTCATTAAGATTTTGATCTATTAGCCATTCGGAGGGCCAGGGGAACGGTGAATAGAAAATTAATTAATTTAAATTAAACCGTAAATTAATTTAATCTCCTCCTCATAAGGGTCCGTCAGTCGTTTGGAAGCAGCTTTATATAAACTGTAAGTGTCTCCATTTATTGGAAAGACATTCAAATCGGAAGAGGAGCTTGGTCAAAATTCACTTCGGCGGTTACAAACAACCTACATATTATATATGTATATATATGTAAGATCTTGATCGCCAAATTTAATCCATCAATTAAAATAATAGTATATACAAAGTAATCTTTGCAGTTGTGAATATGCTTTTATATGTACGTGTGTGTGCATTTTTTTATAGTAACAGTTTTTAACTACTTTTTGCACCAGTCTTTTTTTTACTTTTGCGAAGTTTTAGATGGGTTTCGCGCAAATTTTTCCTTTTCTGCATTTTTATATATTTTAATATACTAAATATATACTTAATATAGTTATCAATATTTTACATAAGTACATAGCAATTATGTAGTTATGGATGTAAATGTGTTTGTAGTTCCTTCAAAAACAAATCCATATGCTCGATATATTTTTAAGTAACTTAAACACAACTCTCCGGACCCGGTAATGTGTCCGTTATAATATGATTTCGATTTGTATTCGTTTTTTGTGTAATCGTTGCTGTTGGTGTCATGCTCGCTGCATGCGAACTCTGGGATAGTAGCCCACCATTGCTATTACTACCGCCGCTGCCATTGATACCCAATAATGAACCTATGCCCAAGCCTTTGGGTAAAGTCATGTGACCACTACTGCCGCCGCCGCCACCACCTCCTCCCATACCAGGTGGCAACCCCACTGCCGCTTTGCTTAAATTATAATCGATTAAGCTACTCGCTGCGAGATAATCGGCAATGGATAGTTGTTCATCAGTAGGTAATGTTGATTGATGTTGTTGCTGTTGCTGTTGTTGCAAGTGATGTTGAAAGCTCGCATGTGGAGCTGTAGCTGAGGGGTGTGGCAGTGTATGATGATTGACAAAATGTCCATTGCTCAGATTATTCTGTAGTAATGAATGTGACGCAGCAGCACTTGAAGGTGGATTATTTATGTTGTTGGATGTGGTACCGGCACTGCCGGCGGAATTCAGTGTACTGTTGCTGCCACCATAGTTAAGACCAAGCGGATCATAACGTGAGATATCGTGTCGGTTCAATGGCAATGCATCGTAGAGTAGTGGCTGCTGGGGACTTTGGTAATTTTTACGTACTTCGGTGCCTAGCTTCAGGGTGCTCGATTGGGACGGTGGACTATTGAGTAGGTCAGTAGCATTGTTGGGGTCGTTGTAATTTAAGGTAGAGTTATCCTGCAAATATAAATCGCATTAAATTTTTATTTGCGGATGGTTGCATAAAAAAAAATCATTTGAAAACAATAAATAAATAACTTAATTAAAAAAAAATTATATTAACTTTAGTTAAAATAAATAAAATTAAAATCAAAATAAATTAAAAGAAATAAAAAAATTAAAATACAAATTAAAATAAAATTAAATAAATAAAATAGAATAAAATAAAAGGAAAAAGGTAAAAAATAAAATAAAATAAACAAAATAAATAAAATAAAATGAAAATAAAATAAAATTAAATTAATTAAATAAAATTAAATAAAATAAAATAAAATAAAATAAAATAATATAAATAACAAAATTGGTTTCTCAAAACTATCATATTATTTAATTTTACTTACATAATCCGACGCCGCATTTGTACTAGCCACAGTAGTGAAGTTTGATTTGTTACCAGCAACACCACAATTGCTACCAGCTGCACCACTGCCACCAAGATATAGTGCCCCCGGTCTGTTGCCTATAGGCGATGATGTATCACTGCCAGTTGCACTCTTTTGCGCGCTCAATATATCGGGCTGCTTTTCGATACCCTGTTTGAGTGTATAAGCTACCACTAAGCGTTGATGCCCTGCTCCGGTTTCCAAAGGCGCTGTCACGGTGACATCCATGCCTGGAAAAAGAAGATATAGAGATACAAAAATAGTATTTATTTTCAAAAGATCAAAAAATTTCAACAAAATTGAGTATGAACGAATATTAAATTTTGAAATCGCTTTAAGAAAATATAAATTTACCTAAATGTTTATCCTTGTCGTCGCAAAGATTCCTTCCGCCTTGACATCTGCGCTTTCGAATAGCGACAACCACGAAGAAGAGCACTGCAATGCTAATGGCAAAAAGAGAGCCAGTAATTAGGGCTGCTAACGGTAGTATGGAAGCCATACGTCCATCTGAAAAAGGAGCAATTTAAAATCGTAAATTGTGGATACTTTAGCGAAATTGTAACCAAAAAATTGTTCGAAAATGTTACATTTATTACAAGATTTGTACTATAATGTTATTGTTATCGACGATTAGTATGCAAATACCAGAGAAAATATTTATTTACAAGGCTAAAGATATGTAAAAAATAATGATTCCAGGGCAATTGGCAAAGAAAAAGTTAAAAGCCATTCGGAAGGCTCGGGCTCAAAACCTGGTGTCCTACTAACATCCAAAAATTGCAGAAAAATAATTTAAATACAAAATGAAATTAAATTTTTTAATTGCGGTTGTCCCTCGGCGGGGGATGTTAACTCCTCCAAGAGTATTTCTGACATGAAATAAAGGCTCTTCTTGTCAAAGCCAACAGACGTTCGGAGGCGGCTTTAGTATAAACTGTAGGTCCCTACATTTGTTGGAAAAACATCAAGATGCAAAACCACAAAGTGGAGGAGGAGTTGGGCCGAAAAATCGCTTCAGCGGTTACAAAGATATAATAAAAAGCAAAGAAGGATTGTTTTCGTATTTGACTTTATTTTTTGTCGTCATTTTCTTCTGTCCGTATTTTTAATGTGAGCGCGCAGAAGGCAGAAAGTATACCATATTTGTTTTGGTTTGATACCTGCCCAGACTCCTCCATGCTTTTGTAAATGGAATTTTCGATACCATATTCCTTCTTTTATTCAAGCAAAAGAGTCACCCTGCTACTAAAAATCCAATACCATATTTATGATCCTTTATAAGACTGCTGCTGTTCACATCTTATTCTCTCAATTGGGTTCCTTGTCAGAGAGACATAAAGCAAATAAATATCGTAGGTTTGAGTTAACCAAAATTATACTGATAAAGAGATCTTGTTAGATATACTGTAAGAATAGACACGTTATTTATATGTAGCTTATAAAAGTTCTGATTGATTGAAACCTGATGTAACGACACCCAAAGCGGCCAGGTATACGGGTCATGCCGAAGTCTTTATACCTTTCATGACCGTGTCAATTTAAGGATGAAATATTAATTCTTATATCTGAAAAGTTTGGTCCGGTGATTTTTGTTGACAATGTTTGATTGCATATACTCGTAAGTATATATAATATATATAATGAACAATTTCACACTTTTAGGTGCTTTGGCCGAAAAATAGGTCGTGGTCCAATCTGGCCGGTTCTGACAAATGATCGTTTAAATATACCAGTTCATTTGGGTACCACATTTTTTTTTTGGAATATCTCAAAACACGGGGTATTAGTTTGCGCAAAAACAGACGGACAGATAGACATAGTTTCATCAAACCACCTCAATAGGTTCATTCTAGCTCTACTAATTTGGGTCTAACTCTTTTATTTATTTTTTTTTTTTAACGACGAACCCAGCGTTCAACACCTTCCGCCCGATCGGCCGAGAGTTGCGTCTGAGGGATGATCGAAAAATCCCACAGACCGGTGACCGAACTGTCCTTAACTCGAAACCAATCGCGGATTGCCTTCTACATTAAACAGCTACAGATTTGTTCATCAGCTGCTATAAAATTACATGGGAAAAAGGAGAAGGAATTTACTCAATTAAAGCACTCAGCAAATAGGTTTCGATACAGAAAAGCAAGTCAGTGGAATCAATGTTGGTGAAATGTGTATAAAAATCGTTACACAAAGATTTTAAAGGTTCGTGCATTTCATACTTTGTTCTGCATGAACATAATGGAAGGGCTCTAAAGTGTCTAGATGATCTTATTTATCTAAGGAATATTAAAAAAAGTAGATCTGAATGAAAGTATTCGAAAAAGTTTGGGAATGAGCACGCTTAAAGTCAGGTAAAGTCACTTTTTCGCGTATTTTCAAAAGTATTAAGTTCTAGTTTATGTATTAAGTAAGCATTTTTTCTCTTGAGAAAATTCTGCCATGAGATTTACAGTAGATCTCATGGCAGAACTTAGTTGCGTCCACACCTTTTTTTCGAGGTGCCACTGGAAATGACGTCACAATGGCGGAGTTACGAATATTTTCGTTTGAAAATTTCAGAAGCTCGTCTTCAAATGTAAGTTTGATTCAAAAAAATTTTAAAATATGTTATTTTTTTCACGAATTCACATCAAAGTGGTTACCATTGCGTACTGTCGTTCAGATGGTCAAGGCTCGAGTTCTGGGTCGGACGACTTCAAAAAAAAAAAAAAAACAGTCGCGTCTCGGCAATGTCTCGGGATTGTCAAACCCTCCGTGTGTATTTCGATCCTGAAATAAAAGCTTCTTATAAAAATCCATGGAACGTTCATATCCATTCTTTTGAAAAACATCAAGTCGAATACCACAAATGGTTGATAATCGGTTCAGCGGTTCAAAAGCGCCAACTTCATACATATACACAACATTTAAATATGTAGTAGTACAAAAAAATTAAATTATTTTCAATAACTATAAAAAAGGATTTTAAATAAAAAAAAACGAAAACGAAAAAAATTTGTTAAATCACCAATACCATTGAATTGCAAAGTTGTTAACACGCTCTATGTGTCAAGCTTTTAAGCCAATTATGAGAGTAAACATTAAGCGTTTTACTACACTAATTTTACATTCAACGCGCCGAGTTATAAGCAAGAGTCAACAATTCGGCCCAATTGTGCGCAAACAACCACTAAATAGCTAATGGCTACAGGCACCAGCAAAATACATCTACTAACATACATACATACAATACATTTTTATATTTACGTGGCAATTCCAGTAAATCCCGTTAAGTGTACAAGTTTCGAAATTTGTAGAAACAAAACTTAGGTTCTTTTTTTTTTTGTTTTTTTTTTTTGGTTTAACCAAAGGACATTGAACCAAACAAAATAACAGATAATAGGATAAAAAGAAAATCTCTTACGGCTAAATGGTTTCACAAAGTTAAGTTAAATAAACAAAGTAAATTTCAATACAAAATTAATGCATGTTGGCGATGAGCGATGAGCGTTGATGGCATAAAAACTGCTGTGGAAATCAGTGAAAGAGATTATACTTGAAATGTGTGTTGCTTTAGGTAAAATATTTGAAAGATAAAAGAATATATATATGTATGTATATGTGTATATATAGTGAAACCTCTCCTTACGGACAGCTCAGGCGATGGACGCCTCTCTCGAGCGGACAATTTTTCATACACCACTATGAGGTGGCCGACGTGTACAATTATATATAATACTATAATTTTGAGCAAAACACCTTTACTGAGAGGACCCGAATCTCTTTTCAACGGACAAATACATTATTTTTTCTTAATATATTTAACCAAAAACCTCTGTTGGGCGGACAAAAGAAAAATCAAATGACATACTGAAATTTTGAAAACGACGTAGTACTAGCGTAAATACTATTGGATGAGTGCATAAGTTCGTGCCCGATTCCGCTGGATGCCGTTCGAATCGTTTGAGAGTGGCGCTCGTGAAAGAAATATATACATATTATATATCGTTGGAAAGGTGACAGTCCGAACTGTAAATCAAGCATAAAATAACTTCATTTTGATTTGAGTTGCTTAGTGAAAAGACGCATGGAAGATGGACAACGAAAAAGATCATATGCGTCATATTATGTTATACGAATTCCGCAAAGGAAAAACAGTAGGCGCTGCAACTAAAGATATTCGCGAAGTTTATTTGGACCGTGCTCCAGCACTCCGCACAGTAAAGAAATGGTTCGCGAAATTTCGTTCTGGAGATTTTAACCTCGAAGATCAACCTCGCAGTGGACGGCCTTCTGAGCTTGATGACGATGTTCTAAGGACTTTAGTTGCGAATAACTCACGTATTTCGACGGAAGAGGTTGCCAGTGAATTGAACGTCAACAAATCAACTGCGTTTCGTCGTTTAAAAAAGGTTGGGTACACTTTGAAGCTCGATACATGGGTGCCACATCAGTTGAGTGAAAAAAACAAAGTGGACCGTATGTCAACAGCAATTTCTTTGCTTCGACGGATCAAAAACGAACCTTTTTTGGATCGGCTCGTGACTGGTGATGAAAAATGGATCCTGTACAACAATGTTCAACGCAAAAGAACATGGAAACAGGCACACGAAGGGGCGGAACCGATGTCGAAAGGTGGATTGCATCCGATGAAGGTACTGCTGTGCATTTGGTAGGATATCCGAGGCGTGATCTATTTTGAGCTCTTGCCAGCTGGAGAAACGATCACTGCCAACAAGTATTGTCAGCAATTGGTCGAATTGAAGAAAGCAATTGATGAAAAAGTCCGATTTTGGACAATCGCAAAGAAGTTCTTTTCCATCATGACCAGCCAGGCAACATGTTGCAAAACCGACCCTGGCCAAACTGAAGGAGATGAATTGACATTGCACCTTCTGATTATCATTTGTTTCGATCGCTGCGGAACAATTTGAATGCACTTGAAATCGGACACGAACTTATGCACTCATTCAATATATACATAAATATTATATATAATAAATATTCTCTTCGTAGCTTGGAAAGTACAGGGCTGTATTTTGACATCCGTCAAATTTAACTGTCAAACCGAATATGTTTTGTTTTAGTTGAAAGCATCGTAGAGGCTTACAAGTATGGAAAGCGATATTTTGTTTGATTACATTGAAAACAGCTAAGATCACCTGATTTCTAAATCATTTTCATTATTTCTTTTTCTTTGACATTTCAAATTGAAATTTCCCTTATTCTATCATGATTCGCGAACAGATTCTTTACTCCTCTTTTTGGTACGACATTTCCTTTTGCGTTGATTCTTTCGTTGTCTGCGTATTTGTTCTGAAAATCTTTCATTCTTGGCCGCAGCCATTATGATTTTATATTTGACAGGCAAACCGCGAGATTAACAGGCAAATTTGTTGAGCTGACAGATTTCTCAAGATTTCATACTTGTAGACCTCTACGATGGTTGAAAGTCAGGAATTTATAAAAATAGAACTTTTAACAGCCGCACAATGCATTCAAATTGCTACCACAACAGAGACGAATCAAAC